CTGTATTTTCCTAGAGATTTCAGGAAAGGGTGGTGTGTTGTTGTTGTTTTATCCACAAGGGGGTGGGAAAACAGAAGAGATAAAATCCCTTGGCACAGAGGGAGAGGGGACATTTTGTGCTGGGCCATCTTGGCTGATTACATCTGGAGTAATTGAGCTTTGTGTGGATGGCTAGCATTGCCTCATGGAGCAGACAGAGTGCTGGCTACCTGAACAAAGGCCACAAGTAAATAGGAAGTTTTTGGAACACTGTAACTTCTCTGCTAAATAGCCTGCCTTAGAATAAGATCAGCCAGGGCATGTGCAGAGTGAGGGACAAAGGAATTGTGTGTTCACACATTTCTTTCATATTCTTTGTTCAGTCCATTGCTATCCTTAGAGTACATGTGGTCTTGTCGCCTTTGATAAATCCTCTACTATTTTAAATGCTGGTAGTTTTTCTCTACACTGCATAGACTTCTACTATATGAATATACTATTTTAAAATAGGCATCAGGGGAAGGGTTATAGAATCATAGAATGTGAGAGTTGGAAGGGACCTTGCAGGTCATCTAGTCCAACCCCCTGCACTCTGCCGGAGCATAGCCGAAAGATAGCCCTACAAACATACCTGAAAGATACTTGAAAGCAGAGGATAGAATCTTGCAGGATAGGACCTTGCAGGTCACCTAGTCCAATCCCCTGCACTCTGCAGGAGCATAGCCAAAAGATAGCCCTACAACAGCTGAACATTAAGGAAAACTTTTTGACAGTCAGAGTTGCTCAGCGGTGGAACCAGCTGCCTGGGGAGGTGGTGAGCTCCCCCTCCTTGGCAGTCTTTAAGCAGCGGCTGGACAATCACTGGTCAGGGATGCTCTAGGCTGATCCTGCACTGAGTAGGGAGCTGGATTAAATGGCCTGTCTGGCCCCTGCCAACTCTGCGATTCTATGACTCTATGAGAACTAGCCCGCTCAGCAGGCATTTCCTAAAATGGCTAGTTGGTGGTAGCGGTACCCAAAGAGCAAGAGCAACCCCCTCTCAGGGTGGGATGGGGCCGGAGAGCATTGCATCAACAGGTGGGGACTCAGACAACACTAGAAAGCCAGTTTGGTGTAGTGGTTAAGTGCGCGGACTCTAATCTGGGAGAACCAGGTTTGATTCCCCACTCCTCCACTCGCAGCTGCTGGATGACCTTGGGCAAGCCACAGTTCTGATAAGAGCTGTTCTTGAAAAAAAGAGCAGTTTCTGTCAGAGCTCTCTCAGCCCCACCTCTCTCACAGGGTGTCTGTTGTGGGGAGGGGAAGGGAGAGGAAATTGTCAGCCACTCTGAGACTCCTTCAGTTAGTGAAGGGTGGGGTATAAATCCAATCTCTTCTTCTTCTTCTTCTTGTGCCTCAGCACTTTTGAGCGCTGGAAGGAGCAAGGCTTGTGGGTCAGTGGGGCCGTTCCACCACAGAGGGATTCAGCTGCTAGATGCATAACATTAAGAACAGAAACAGTAATCTCAGAGGAATACCTCACAGTGACATTTAAAATAACCAGAGGGAGATGTGCAGAGCGTGGTGGAAAATACTGTGGCATGTAGAAGTCAACATGGTGTAGTGGTTTAGAGTGTTGGACTAAAATCTGGAAGGTCCAAATTTTAATCCCCATTCTGCCAATTTAATTTGAAAGCCAGTTTGGTATCGTGGTTAAGAGTGGTGGCCCCTAATCTGGAGAGCCAAGTTTGATTCCCCTCTTCTCCATATGAAGCCAGCTGGGTGACCTTGGATCAGTCACAAGTTCTCTCAGAGCTGTTCTCTCAGGGGCAGTCCTTGAAAGAGCTCTCCCAGCCCCACCTGCCTCACAGGGTGTCTGTTGTGGGGAGAAGAAAGGAAGGTGATTGTAAGTGGCTCTGAGACTCTGGGTGAAGAGTGGGGTATAAATCCAATCTCTTCTTCTTACACAACAGCCATTGTCTTTAGGAGAAGTGGAATACATGTTTCAAATGAGAGCCAGCTTGGTTTGTTTAGGAGTGTAGACTCGAATCTGGGAGAACCAGGTTTGATTCCCCACTCCTCCTCCACATGCAGCTGCTGGTGTGACCATGGGTCAGTTACAAGTTCTCCCAGAGCTTTTCTCTCATGGGCAGTTCTCGAGGGAGCTCTCTCAGCCCCACCTGCCTCACAGGCTGTCTGTTGTGGGGAGAAGAAAGGAAGGTGATTGTAAGCCACTCTGAGTGAAAAGTGGGGTATGAATCCAATCTCCTCCTCCTCCTTCTTGCTGGGTGGCCTTGGGTCAGTCACACACTCTCAGCCTTACCTACCCCACACAATTAAGTGAGGGGAGGAAATGGATGAGAGAAGAATGCCGTAATTCACTTTGTGCCCCAATTAGGGGTAAAGGTGAGTATATATGATGGATTTGGTTACTGCAAGCCGTTTTGATTATTGGCCATGAGAGAAAATGGCAGAAATTTGCTCTTTTCCATGGATAGAAGAGCTGGAATGTTCTACTTTGGCAGCAACAATGAAGGGCTCTCTCATGTTTTCTCTCTGTCTCTCCCTCTCCAGTGAAGTCTGGTGCATGCCCTGAGCTGCAGACCGAAGACGTGCCATGTGGACTGTATTGCTCCTTACATGCCAAATGTCCGGGGAATGAGAGATGCTGTAAAACCATCTGTGGACAGCAATGTGGACTTTCTGACAGAGGTGAGCCAAGGAGAGCCAGTTTGGTGTAGTGGTTAGGGGTGCAGTGTCAGACTCCTGAGTCAATCAGTTCCCAACAACAGTCATTCAAAGAAATAAAAGTTCATTGAGACGTTGATAGTGTTCCGGCATCTTAACTGTTCTGTGTTAGAACTGAGGGGAAAGTGTGCAAAGCAAGCGGATATACACTATTCAAGATAGACCCTGATGGCTCATGGCCAATCAGACTTCAGGTAGAAGCCCACCGAAATAATGGGCCACTTTTCAGAAGAGAAAGCTGACAACCAGGCATTCAAGGTTATATGCAGGACTTCAGAGAGATAACCAGAACAGCAGCAGCAGAAACGAAAGTCAGTTTGGTGTAGTGGTGAAGTGTGCAGACTCTAATCTGGGAGAACCGGGTTTGATTCCCCACTCCTCCACTCGCACCTGCTGGATGACCTTGGGCAAGCCATAGTTCTAGCACAGTTATTCTTGAAAAAGAGCAGTTTCTGTCAGAGCTCTCTCAGCCCCACCTCTCTCACAGGGTGTCTGTTGTGGGGAGGGGAAGGGAAAGGAGTTTGTAAACTGCTCTGAGACCCCCTTGGGTAGTGAAGGGCGGGGTATAAATCCAATCTCTTCTCTTCTTCTCCCCCCCCCCCCTTCAACCATGACTCTAATCTGGGAGAACCAGGTTTGATTCCCCACTCCTCCACATGCAGCTGCTGGGTGACCTTGGGTCAGTCTCAAATTATTTCAGAGCTGTTCTCTCACAAGCAGTCCTCGAAAGAGTTCTCTCAGCCCCACAGAGAGATTGTCAGCTGCTTTGAGACTCCTTTGGATAGTGAAGGGTGGGGCATAAATTCAATCTCTTCTCTTCTTCTTCTTTGGAAGAGGTATGATTTCTCCTATGTGCCTGAAGCTAGGAAGGGAAGCTCCGGTGTGTGTGTGTGTGTGTGTGTGTAATCTACAGTTGTATGGAATTTGATCCCAATTAGCCAGTAACGATTCCCTTGTCATTCCCACCCATTAGATCTAGTCTTGTGATCCGGAGCCAGAGAGAATAGACCTGCTCCATCTTCTACCTGACAGCCCTTCAGATACTTGAAGACTGCAACCCTGTCCCCTCTAAGCCTTCTCTTTCCCAGGCTAAACAGACCCAACTCTTTATGTACATATTCTTACCTGGGTGGTGTCAGTTTCACGTGGTTGATGGTCAGAGTGCTGGACCGGGACTGGAGAGACCTGGTTATGAATCTTCCCATCGCCCCAAAACTCACGGGGCCACCTTGGGTTAGTCAGATACTCTCTCAGCCTGACCCTACTGTGAGAACAAAAAGAAGGCAGAACATGAGAGAAGCCAGGCTGGATCAGGCCCGTGGCCCCTCCAGTCCAACACTCTGTGTCACACAATGGCTTGAACCCAGGGGCCATCAGGAGGTCCAGCAGTGGGGCCAGAACTCCAGAAGCCCACCCACTGTTGCTCCCCAAGCACCAAGAAGACAGAGCTTCACTGCCCCAGACATAAGAGCATAAGGGAAGCCGTGTTGGATCAGGCCAATGGCCCCTCCAGTCCAACACTCTGTGTCACACAATGGCTCAAACCCAGGTGGCATCAGGAGGTCTACCAGGGGGGCCAGGACACCAAAAGCCCCCCCCCTGTCAAACCCCCCCCCCCCAGGCACCAAGGATACAGAACATCCCTGTTCCAGACTTAAGAATATGAGAGAAGCCATGTTGGATCAGGCCAATGGCCCATCTAGTCCAACACTCATGGGATAGGTTGGAGTACAAATTTAAATAAATAAAACTAAATAAATAACTAAAACACTCTATGCCATACAGTGGCCCAAACCCAAGTGCCAGCAGGAGGTCCACCAGCGGGGCCAGAACTCCAGAAGCCCTCCCACAGGCACCAAGAAGCAGGAACTAGCTATACCTCTCAGCTCCTTGGAGGAAGGGTGGGTTGATCATTTCAGAGACAGGTGGCCAAAGTCATAGAATCCATACAGGTACACTTTTTTTGTTGGCAGACCAGAGACAAAATATTCACTCAAAAATCCTCTGTGGGATTTGAAGACTCCCAGCTGTTCTGGCAAGTTATGAACCTATTGGTCTTTTTTCCTTTTCTTTACGCCCCCAGCCCACAGTGGTTACTGCCCCAAGGTGGATCCCAAACCTGGACAGGCTACTACCTGCCTTGCCAGTTGTGGCACTGACGAGGATTGTACTGGGGACCTGCAAAAGTGTTGCAGTTTTGGATGCCAGCGGAGGTGTGCGGACACCATTGCAGGTGCGCTGGTGCCCCTCCATCGCGAGCATTGGTGGGATGTGTGCCTTTGGGTCACGGGGACATGGAAGTGCTCAAAGGTTAATTTCTGTTGAGGGAGAAACCCTGAGAGCTGAGCAGGGATGGGGGAAAAGGTCCCTCACACCATTCCCGTTTTGTTCCAGAGTTTTGCTCCGCATAGACTCCACAATTCCAACTCAGCGAGGGAGATTTCTAAGTTGATTGCAGAACTGAAGCAGGCGTCTATTTGCCACAGTCTTTTCATTTCATTTCATTGGTTCCCTCCTCTGTTTCATTAATGTTCGTGCACACGTTTATAAAACACTGAAGCACAAAAGGCCAAATGTTATTAGCATTTGAAAGCACGATTAAGAATCTTTTTGTTTTGAGCCAGTTTGGTGTCGTGTGCAGACTCTAATCTGGGAGAACCGGGTTTGATTCCCCACTCCTCCTCCACTTGCACCCGGCTGGATGACCTTGGGCAAGCCGTAGTTCTCTCAGAGCCGTTCTTGAAAAAGAGCCGTTTCTGTCAGAGCTCTCTCAGCCCCACGTACCTTCCAGGTACTGTTCCCTCTAAGCTGAGTTAGTGTGAGACAGCTCACAGTTTTTTAGCCTCCAGATCACAGATTTTTGTCTCGGCTCAGGAAGGACGGGGCTCCAGAGCAAACTAATTTATGCAGCAGCCAAATGGCTCACTCGCAACTTTAATGTCAGTAGCTCACAAAGTACAATTTTTGCTCACAAGACTCCACAGCTTAGAGGGAACAGAGTCCCAGGGTGTCTGTCTGTTGTGGGGAGGGGAAGGGAAAGGAGTTTGTAAGTCGCTCTGAGACACCTTCTGGTAGTGAAGAGTGGGGTATAAGTCCAATCTCCTCCTCCTCCTCCTCCTCCTCCTCCTGTAAGTCGCTCTGAGACACCTTCTGGTAGTGAAGAGTGGGGTATAAGTCCAATCTCCTCCCTCCTCCTCCTCCTCCTCCTCCTCCTCTTCTTCTTCTTCTTCTTGGTTGGGTGTTTTTTTTAATGTACTACAAACATTCCTACACATTGGTAGAGAACCATGTAAAAACAACAGGGATGCTAATATTCGCTTGACAAGGGTAAACGGTCACTTCAGGTCACCTGTGCGAGAGTTCCTTGACCGTTTTGCTCCCAGAATCCTCGCTTTGCAAGAAGAAGAGTTACCTTTTGTGTGTGCAGCTCTGGTGGGCGGGGGAGAGGGAGCCTGAGGCCTGGCTTGGGATGGGGAAGCAGACCCCTCATGGAATGACTCTCCCTGTGGGACCCTCCCTGGTTCTCCCCTGGAGAATAGTAGGACTGGGCTGGGAGGTAGGACTGGGCTCACGTGACCGCCTGGCATCAACGGAAACCCCGTCTCTTCCCCCAATCTTGTTCTAGAGCACCCCGGAGTATGTCCCTTGAGGGAAGAGGTGAAAACCCTTGCTCCCTGCAACGACACCTGCAGCGATGACCGAGACTGCCTGCCCAACCAGAAGTGCTGCTTCAACGGCTGCAGCCTTAGTTGCCTGGACTCAGGTACTGGCCAAGCGTCCGGCCCGGGTCCTGTAGCTCCCGTCCAGGGATGCTGGCAGCCTGGCTGAGGGAAACTGTCCGTGCTCCAGAGCCCGGTAAGCTGGCCTCATGCACCTCCATTGTCCTTCCAACAGTGCGCAGGAAGGAGTGCCGATTACCGGCTGAGAGGGGACCTTGTACAATGGCCTTTGTACGTTATTACTATAACGTTGATCAAAAGAGATGCATACAGTTCACTTATGGTGGCTGCCATGGAAACAGCAACAACTTTGAGACCAAGGAAGAATGCAAGAAGTCCTGTGGGAAAATCACTCCAGGTAAGGAGCTGCTGACTTTCTTTGCCTTGGCTAGGGAGACCGAGCGGAGCAATACTTAACCAGAGAGAAAAAAATTTTTTAATGGTCCTATGCTGTACCTGAAGCTGCGGTGGCTCAAGTGGTTAAGATGCTGAACTGCAGGCTGTGGAAGGTCGGTAGTTCAGCAGTTTGAGACCCAGGTTGCCGCATGATGGAGTGAGCTCCCGTCTCTGGCCCCAGCTCCTGCCAACCTAGCAGTTCGAAAGCAAGAAATTGCAAGTAGATAAATAGGGACCACTTTGGTGGGAAGACAACAGCGTTCCGTGCGCCTTGGCGTTTAGTCATGCCGGCCACATGACCACGGAAACGTCTTCGGACAGCGCTGGCTCTTTGGCTTGGAAACGGAGATGAGCACCGCAACCCTAGAGTCGGACTTGACTGGCTTTCGGGCAAGGGAACCCTTTACCTAATGCCGGGGAAAGTTCACCTGGATTTTTTTTTGTAACCCTCGCATTTTCAGGAGCTTTGACCTGGCTAGCACAGGCTAGCCCAAACTTGTCAGATCTCAGAAGCTAAGCAGGGTCAGCCGGGGTAAGTACTTGGATGGGAGACCCCCCCCCCCCCAAAGGAAGTCCAAGATTGCTGCACAGAAGCAGGCCACCTCTGACCCTCTCTTGCCTTGAAAACCCTACGGGGTTGACTTGAGAGGACTTTCCACCACCAACATTTTCCGGCCCCAAGACTTGGGGGGGATCTCTCTGCTTCATCTTCTCTCCTTCGGCCGTCTCACACGCTTCCTTCTGTTTGGTGCAGTGGTTAAGTGCGCGGACTCTAATTTGGGAGAACCGGGTTTGATTCCCCCACTCCTCCTCCACGTGCACCTGGCTGGATGACCTTGGGCAAGCCGTAGTTCTGACAAGAGCTGTCCTTGAAAAAGAGCCGTTTCTGTCAAGAGCTCTCTCAGCCCCACCAACCTAACAGGGTGTCTGTTGTGGGGAGAGGAAGGGGAAGGAGCTTATAAGCCGCCCTGAGACTCCTTTGGGTAGTGAAGGGCGGGATATAAATCCAATCTCCTCCTCCTCCTCCTCCTCCTCCTCCTCCTCCTCCTCTTCTTCTTCTTCTACCTCACAGGGTGTCTGTTGTGGGGAGGGGAAGGGAAAGGGATTGTAAACTGCTCTGAGACACCTTTGGGTAGTGATGGGCAGGGTATAAATCCAATCTTCTTCTTCTTCTGAAGGAGGCATGCATAGTGGGTTTTAAAAAAAACTTTTTGCGCATGTGCATAGGCGTCACAGCGTGTCCTTGTTGATCCGCGCATGTGTAGAGACTTTTTAAAATGGTGCCCGCTTGGGATGGTCTGACGTCAGACCACCCCGATGGGATGATTGCACGCTGGTGGAACGACCGGATGGGTGAAAGTCCGCAGTTGTCCCGCAGGTAACCGAAATTTAAAGTGCTATCTTTTAAGTACAGGTCCGAAGCACGGCAAAATGGGATGCCCACGGAAGAGGGATATTTCCCAGGTGGTTGTGTCTGGACATTACCTTTAGATCCGTGAGGCAATCGTGCCTCGCGCGGATCTAAAATGCTGTGTGATCGGACTCCAAGACTTGCTTTACAAGCCAAGTGCTGCTGGAGGCAAAGAGGCATTGCTATTGGGCTGCCCACCCGCTCCCCTCCCTCACAGCCTCCAACAGAGACCCGCCATCCCGGGCTGCCTCACCTCCGGCCAACTCACAACTCACTCTCTGCTTCTCTCTCTCCACAGCCAGGAAGACCTCTGCCCAGCCCAAGCACTGATGTGGATCATATTCAAGAACACAGAGAGTGATGCCAGCCACCCGTTGGTGGACCTCCTGATGGCACCTGGGCTTTGGCCACTGTGGGCCACAGAGTACTGGAGAAGATGGGCCATTGGCCTGTCCAACATGGGCTTCTCTGATGTTCTTATGTTCTCCAGGAGGTCATCTCTTAACCATCCAGTGTTCACCAATGAAACGCCACCAAAAACAACCACCATCTTGCCTCTTAACTAGTGCTCTACTAAAGAAAGCCATGAGTAGCCAGCAGACCTCAGGACACATCTGTACACTGCAGGGAGAGTGTGATCTTCCAGTGGGCCAATTGCAAGTTGTATGGTCACACAGAAATCTGCCTTGCTGCCATTTCCCCCCTCTGCTCCCGTGCCAGCTCGCAATCTTCCCTCTAAGTTGTGGAGTCTTGTGAGCAAAAATTGTACTTTGTGAGCTACTGACATTAAATTTGTGAGCGAGCCATTTGGCTGCTGTGTAAATTGGTTTGCTGTGGATGCAGTGTTCCCTCTAAGCTGAGTTAGTGTGAGCTAGCTCGCAGTTTTTTAGCCTCTGGCTCACACGTTTTTGCCTTAGCTCAGGAAGGACAGCTCCAGAGCAAACCGATTCATGCAGCAGCCAAATTGCTCGCTCACAACTTCAATGCCAGTAGCGCACAAAATGAAATTTTGGCTCATAAGACTCCATGGCTTAGAGGGAGCATTGCTCTGGAGCCCTCCTTCCTGAGCTGAGACAAAAATCTGTGAGCCGGAGGCCAAAAAACTGTGAGCTGGGTCACACTAACTCAGCTTAGAGGGAACACTGGACAGCTGTAGAGGTATACTTGTCCATGTCATCTTCTGAGAATGAAACAGGGGTCACTGGGGGTGTGGGGGAGGAGGTATTTGTGAATTCCCTGCATTGTGCAGAAGGTTGGACTAGATGACCCTGGAGCTCCCTTCCAACTCTGTGATTCTATGATTCTATGTCACAGTCAAAAACAGTCTGGCTCCAGCAATAGTGCTGACTGTTCTAAGAGGCAAAGATCCAGAGGACTTAGCCCTTTTAGTCTGTTGCTGCAAAACAGATGCCCCTGACGAAGAGAGCTGTGTTTCTCGAACGCTTATGCGACCACAAAGTTTGTTAGCCTTAAAGGTGCGACTGGGCTTTTTACTATTTCTAAGAGGCAGCGACTTGGCTGGAGAAGTGCTCCCTTCTCTCCCCCCACCCAAGTCACTGCACCTCTTTTTCTTTCCACAGCGAAATGTAGTATACAATGAATCATTCCCTATGATTGTCAAAAAAGGGTGAGACTCCCCCGAAAAGCTCCAAAGCCCAGGAGGGGACACAAGCATGGTGCTACAACCAATACTCCCTCTGAGCTGTGGAGTCTTGTGAGCAAAAAGTCTACATTGTGAGCCACTACTGGCATTAAAGTTGTGAGCGAGCGATTTGGCTGCTGCATAAATCAGTTTGCTCTGGAGCCCCATCCTTCCTGAGTGAAGGGGAAAATGTGAGAGCCGGAGGCTAAAAAACTGTGAGCTAGCTCACACTAACTCAGCTTAGAGGGAACACTGGCTACAACCCCCAATTATACTCAGAATTATACTCAGAATTTTGGAAGGAGCCTGGTGGAATTGCCCACTTTCTCCACAATAAAGTCATAAGAACATAAGAGACGCCAATGTTGGATCAGGCCAAAGGCCCATCCAGTCCAACACTCTGTGTCACACAGTGGCCAGAAATACTCGGGGCCATCAGGAGGTCCAGCAGTGGGGCCAGGACACCAGAAGCCCTCCCACTGTTGCCCCCGCCCCCAAGCACCAAGGATACAGAGCATCACTTGCCTCAGACATAAGAACATAAGATACGCCAATGTTGGATCAGGCCAAAGGCCCATCCAGTCCAACACTCTGTGTCACACAGTGGCCAGAAATACCGGGTACCATCAGGAGGTCCAGCAGTGGGGTCAGGACACTAGAAGCCCTACCACTGTTGCCCCCTCCCCCAAGCACCAAGAAGACAGAGCATCCCTTGCCCCAGAGTCCCTATCTGTACCTTGTGGCTAAGAGCCACCGATGGACTTCTGCTCCATTTTTTTGTTGTTGTTCAGTCGCACAGTCGAGTCCGACTCTTCGCGACCCCATGGACCAGCTCCCGCCAGGCCCTTCTGTCTTCCGCCGTCCTCTGAAGTTTGCTCAATATAAAGTCTGCTCCATATGCTTATCTAATTCCCTTTTGAAGCTGTCCATGCTTGTAGCCGCCACCGCCTCCTGTGGCAGTGAATTCCATGTGTTCATCACTCTTTGGGTGAAGTCAAGAGTGTTCCCCCCATTTCTCTGTTTCAAGTTCTTGAATCATAGAATCATAGAGTTGGAAGGGGTCTCCAGGGTCATCTAGTCCAACTCCCCGCACAGCACAGGAGATTCATAACTACCTCCCCATCCCACACACACACACACACACACACACACACACTCAGTGACCCCTGCTCCATTTCCAGAGATGGCAAAATTCCCTCTAGGATCCCTGGCCAAACTGGCTTGGAGAAAAATGGCTTCCGGACTGCAAAGTGGTGATCAGCCTTTCCCTGGGCATGTCAGAAAGGGCCACTCCACTTGTCGGAAAGTCCTAACCTAAGCAAAGATGAGTAATTTACAGAGAAATGGGGCAGGGGGGAGAGAAAGAGAGAATAACACACACGGGTCTGTCCCTGGTGACTGGAATCCAGTGAGCTTCGTCGCCCAGAGACACTGCCTTGCTCTAGGGTCGCCCCAGCAGCAGGGGCACCCCACTTTCTAACCTGAACCAGAGACCCACAAACTATGGCCAAGGAAGGCACTTTTGGCCTGAAACCAGGGGTCACTTCGTAGAAAAAGAGGTGCAGGAGCTCATTAGCATAACTTATTTGCATAACTCATTTGCATATGCCACGCCCCCTGACATCACCGGAAGTGTGTCAGAAGGCAACACTCACCACTCAGGCTAGCTATTGGTGGTGGTAGTGGGAACGTGCCGATCTGCCCTCACAGAGGAGGGAGAGCTTGTACCTGAAGGTGGGCCGGGGGGGGGGAGCTCTGCAACTTACCTGGATGCTTCTTGTTCCTCATGGCCCGACTGAGAGCTGCTGGGAGCAGGGGGCGGGGCTTGTTGCATGTGCCCACCCCTGGGCTCCTTACTGCCGGAGCTCCACTCCTGTGTGCTCCCGCAGGAAATGACCCCTGCCTGAAA